AAATGCACCACACGGGACTACATCGGAGTATTCCACATGTGGAGCAGAAGCCATATCGAGAATAATAATGGTAAAAGGATTTACTAGCAACCATATAATAGTTGTCTTCGTGTTTGGTGAATCCAATAATGAGTTTGTTGCGACCCTCAAGCCATTCGGAATATCTTCCAAAGTTACTGTCATCGTTATTGTACTCATGTGTTGGAAGTGAGTATATTCTAGCAAACTCACTCACAAGTGTTGGTGTACATTCTTCATCTCTTCCAAGCAGCGTTATTGTACAATAATAATCTGGTGTATCATAATCAATACCGGCACGAATAGCACTGTAAACGTTGTCAATTTGAGTAGGCTTTACGTTGGTGATTTCCCGGTAAGGAATCCATTCAAGGTAATGATCTTCATCCAAATAACAGGATTGAACCAAATCGTCTATTGCTGGGTTATTAACAGTTTCTGATGCCAACGACATAGTAACAGGTTGAATTTAAAGAGAATTTTTTCCAAGTTGAACAAATGTTCGTTCTTTAACACTTGTGTTACATCGCACATCCGCAGGTACATCGTTTTACCATTTACATGTGAGACAATACGGGGTATTGTATATTGTAGCCATGGCCCCTGTTTAACAAATTAAAAGGCAACGTTCATAATCATTTGTCACTGTTATATTTATCCCTATAACAGACGCAATAAACACATATTTTTTAGATACAATAATAGAAACCCTTCTTAAGCTTACGAAAGTAGAAAAAACGTTCCGCTCTGTATAGTTTAGCCTGCGTTTTAAATAAAACCGTCAACAGACTAACACGGTCAAATATACCTTCCACATCGCATTATAGTGTTGGGCTGACTGGTTGGGCCTTGTTACACGATACGAAATCGAATTTAGAACAAAATTATGTGGGCTGGTGCTATTAAAAAGCGGTTGTTAATAGGCCTGTTCCGTTCCAATTTGTGCCGATCCCTGATTGGCGGATTAAAATTCACATGATGGGAACGAATGGGAACAACAAATATCCTCATCCCACACACGTTTCATTAATAAGCGTAAAAAATAAAAGGTTATGTTGCGCAAAAGGGTTCTAATGGCTTTTAGAAATATATATATTTTTTGTAAAGAATAACACTTGAAATCTTGGAGTGAAAAGAAAAACAACGGAACGTGGAAACGCGAAATTTGTCCTCAATTCTCACGGTTTTTTGATTGAATAATATAATAGAGTTGGCCAAGTCGGTGGCCTCATCATAAGTATCGACACTACGGACTATTGTCGCGGTGAGAAAATGCAGCTGCCTCGCGAAGAGAACCGATGACAATATCATTAGCGTTTGAATGATTATATATCGCCATAAAATCCACAACCGTCTGTAACAAATCAGGGAATAAGATGGCTTCTAGTTCGGGATTATTAAAACAAAGGGGTATTTGACGTTCATTTTCATCTTGAATAAATTCTATTGCTAAACGAGAGTAATGGCATCCTCACTATGTATTTCGTCAGGTAAGACATATGAGGCACAACTACGTCTGACGGATGTACGGGAAAAGGAATGAATTATTTTCTAAAATATAGGTTGCTTGAGGCCAGACAATAAAAGCGGATAGATAAGAATTATTTTGTTGCAGCCAGTCGCAAGCATAACGCAAGGGTGCCAACAATTGTTAGGACAGGACAAATCAGCATTTTGCAGAAATGCGCCAATAATGCCTGAATAGAAAATGTTCTTTTGTTTTTGGAATAGCCCATTTGACCGACAAGTGATCGATATTCCACAAAAACATTTGCACCAGTAGAACGACCCAAACTGGTGTGTAAGTAGATAGGAAAAATTGAAGTATTGGGGCAAGTGTTAAGCATGTTCGATCCATCACAAATTGCAATTTTTGCCGGGGTTATTATTTTGACTATCCATATTTGCAGATTGCGTGGATAATAAGCGTAAACAATAACAGAAAACGCATGGAAATTGAGCGTAACCCTCTGCATAAAGTAAGTTTGTCGTTCAATATGTGGTGTTTGAAGAATCATAAGTCTGTATTTCAGATGATGGAATGGGAGGTAATGATAACATAAATCGATGGTCATTAATAAGAACCATGAATTAGTACCATTATAAAAACCATTTCGTTTTCTTGAAGAGAATCGACGGTAATATATGGAAGACATTATTTTTTTCAAACTAATAAATAGGTAACACTTCCTATGAAAGCAAAAGCAGCATTTCAAATATTAGTAAATAACACGTAATTATTAATGAGCAGTACTGAGCCGGACAAAAAACTGTTCACACCTCTTCTGCGAGCACCAAATATCGAAAATGATCGGATTACTCTTGGAGTGCGTGACTGAAGTCTAAAGTTGTTCAGCGCAGCAATCCAGTGCGACGAATAGCTGTATGGAGCATTTTATATAACAACCGAGGACAAAGAAATAAAAATATACTTTTTGTAGAGGGAATTGTCGGTCTTTTGTCAGTTATTGATAACGCAACTAAATAGTGATATTATTAATGTAACTCTGATTTAAATGTTATTAATACGATACGTTAACCACGCTGTTGCGATTATAACAATACCCTCTATCAACGGAATTTTTAGGATGTCGGGTAGTGATTACACTCCAAGCAGAATGCATAAAGAACATAAATTAATGCTTGAGGCAGCAAAAAATGCCATAGAACCTACACAAAGTTTAGAAATGAATCATCATGCACCAGTGTGTGATAATCAGAATGTTTTTGGATTATTATTATCACATCGCAAAAATAAAAATGGGTCAGAACATTAATACGTAACATTAATACGTAACATTAATATGTCTCAAGTAAATCATATAAGAAAAGTTCTAAATCTTGAATAAGAATCATCAAATAATAATAAAAACGGGAATCGTTTATCATATTAAATATTTTGTTTTGGGGCAAATATTAATATGTTTTTCTGAATATGATTATATTACAAACGTATGATTGTGCTGCACCGTCTATATTTCATTCAACTGATGTGATGAGTTTACTCATATTTCTTCTTTTGGTATGATGTGACCAAGTTTCTTTTCTTTCCATCTTATATATCCATCATAGACGTGTCCAATAATATTAAAAGTCAAGACGATAGAGCTCATTATCAACGACAGGAATGGAATAATGTCATATGAGACTGTTAGATATCTATACAGAACCTATAAAAGACAGCAAATTTAAATGTCACCATCTAAAAATTTGTATCATTTGATTAACCGTCTTTACATGAGTGGGCACTCCTTTACATATACATACCTGAATAACCAATTGGGGAATATCTTCAATAAACAGATTCAATGTACTACCCCAGAAAACATAATTCACTGCTTTCTTTGACAGAGGTGCAGAAAACATCTGCCAACCAGCAAACTTGGATCCAAGACATGTGATAACTTCAATGTCAGCACTTGCTAGTAGAGTGAATATTGAAGTTATTCTTACATTCCGGCTGAACCATTCTTGAAATTTAGTATTTTTACTTAGTTCAGCCATTAAGATCGAGAATGCCAGGGCAGAATTGAAGGCAATAGGAGCTATTAAGAAAGCTATACTGAAAATAGAACAAAGTGCATAAATTAAAATAACGAATACAACTTGATCGCCTGTATATGTATGATACATGCAATAATTGTAAAATAGCATAGTGATACCTTGGCATATATAATTGCGGGACGTTCCTTGCATTTGTAAGTACAAATGTTATATCAAGACTCAGGTCTACAAGTATTAGTGTAAGCTTTACGACAACAAAACTTTGACCCTGAAATAAAAAAAGTTTCGCATATTTACTAACATTCATCACATAATAAACATCATTAGCATCAAATGCATGCAGGAAAACTCACCTCTGGATACTTCCGTCTCGCGAAAAAGTATATTACTGATAATATCAAGAGACCAGCAAATAATCCGATTAGTTTAACCTTGTAAGTTTCCCACAAATTGGCTAGACGAGTTTCATAAAATTATGTCAGTTTTCATTCACTATAGCATTGAAACCGTAGTTTAAACCGTGTAATCACATACCGATAGGTGAAAACCCATAAGTTTCATCAAGATAACTGGTGGGATACTCCCGTGAAAATGCATTATAAGCTTTATTCCTAATTAAATCATCAAGATCATCAATAATCTGCTGTACTGTTCTCTGAGACAAATCCTCAGTTGACTTGAGCGTGATTTGAAACAATATCTGATCTGGTGCATCAGGGTCAGGTTGATTGCGTCTGCTGGTTGTTATACGTGATGGATCAATGGGGATGAGCTCAGCGAGCTTTGCAACCATGGCGTCTAAGAAAGAGTTCTTGTCATCAGTAAATAATTGTTCAGATGACGTTGCTGATGTCAACCTTAGAAGACCCGTCGTGGTTTCTATTTACGTTCATTACAGAAAAGACAACTATCAGTTAGGGGTATATGTAAGCATTCATATATTATAAACGAGCATAATACTTTACCTGTATATTTATATTTTCCGTCGGTTTCACTTGAAGCTAATAAATTAAAATACACGGTTGCTGGTAAGCAGGCGGATATTCAACGATTAAAACTATTTGTTAATGCATACCTCCATAGTACACCCAATTTCCTTTCGTCACTCCGGGAAGTGGTTGTCCCAAACTCTTACTCATTACAAAATTGTTATCCACAATAACATCATATGTAGCACCAGGTTGGTTGAAAGTACTCTTGAATATTTTGCATGTTACAGCTGAATCGTCTAACGTAACAGAACAGAAATTAAAATCAGATTTTGCATTGAAACTCTGCCTGAGAATAGGATTTTTGTCTGTCGTTTGATAAATTGAAATGTTTTGTGTCGAAAGAACGATTTGATCCCTGAATATCAGTGTAATGTTTGTAGTGTCTAAAGACACTGATGAGCCTAATTGCGGAATTGATGAATTTACAAGAAGATTGTTGAATCCAGCATCTGAAGTAAGAATATGGTGATTATTGAAGCGTTGGAAGTAAGTATTGCAGGTAGTTAATAGTTATATCTATTACCGTAATAGTAGTTACTAACCTTCAGGCAATAGTTTGGGAAGCTGTAGATAGTGTACGACGAGCGTTGAATCGCTCAACCACGACTGATTCACATAGCGATCTCCCATCCACAGGGTGTTATTGGGAAATATGGCATAATCGCCGAAATGACTATGTGGCATGCTCCAATTATCAGTTGGATCTAACTCAAAGGTTGCTATAGTTGTCCCATTATTAGCTTTGACAGTCACGTTATGGTACGTTCCTTCGGCAATCCTAATCGTGTCTAGGAACAAAAGTCCGCCATAAGGCAGCTGCCGTATTCCATTCATTTGCTCTTGAGCAAACCAGTTATCAGTCAATATCACGTTGACACCAGTTACAGAACCACTTGACAGGAATGCCACTTTCACGTAATCACAAATACCGATAGTGGTTCTGTTACCATCAATTCTAGGAACCTCTATAATGCAAAAATATCCTGTTCCATCAGCAGCTACTTCGCACCCCACTACAGCTGTGTTATAGGTTGGGTTGGGGCTCTGCCAGATTGAATGAGGCGTGTCGAATTGTAACGTTTCGGGTTGCCAGAATTCAACATATAAAAACCATTGCGGAATAGAGTGGAAGGTGTGTGGATCTTCATAGTTAAGTATGTTTTCTAAAACGGCTATGCCATAACCGCCTTCCGTAGAGGGAAAAATTGAGAAATCGGACAGGGCGTTGCCATCATGTCTCGTGATACTGCCATTGTACAGTTGGGTTATTTGGCCCGTGCTATTGCTATTTGGTAATAGTAGGAAATGAAACGTGGGTAATTAATTGTAATTGCCCCAAATTTATACTCACGGCGCACTGAAAATTTTCCACTGAACTTCACCAAGAACCTTTGTTGCTACAAGAAAATCCTTGTCTGGATTGACGTTGGTTTTTGCATATAGTTTAGAATTAGTGTCGATAGGACCATCGGTAAGCGTCACGCTATCCAGGAATACAACATACATTACTATTAATACAAACACAGCAGCAATTTATCAAACTCACTTCTCATTCATTCTAACCAATACCTTTGTAATACCTGGCCACTCCAATCAACTAACATTCCTTGCATAATTTTGTCGTCGTTTGCCTGCGCTACTAACATGTATCCGTCATTGAGCGGGTACGCATGCGGTTGGTAGTTCGTAAAATTGTATGTTGGTACAGTAAATTTGGTCAACGTCCCATTTTGATGTAGCAGACGAATATACAAATTATTTTCATATTTCAATGAATCATTAATATGTAATTGCATCAACCCTGTGCCATCAGGGTACGTAAAGCCATTATGACCATCGAAGAACACAAGATTATCGTTGTCTTCGTACACTGAAGAATTATCATCAACAGCCCAAACGCTTGGAAGAAAAACAAAAATAAGAACGAACAGCAAGAGAAGCAAGAGATAGCGGAGTTTGTTAATCATTATAATATAGGATAGAAACCTGACAATGAAAACCGAACTAGAAAAATGGTGCTTTTATTGACTTCATTGTTCCCTTTCCTGAGTTTGGCAATGTTTTTCATTATTTGGGAGGGGGCCTTTTTTTTCTGCCGATCATCGCCGATCACTTGCCGATCACTTTGGTGAAAAAACGCAAACTTCAAATCCCTAAGGTTTTTGAAGGAAGCAAGCTATGCTCATAACAACTATACCAATACCCAGTATAACATTTGCACTATAAGAAAATGTGGTTATTTTTTAATAAAAAAAATTTAAATAAACAAATTTTCACATTTGAAGGAAGTAAGCTACGTTTATAGAAACTGCGCCAAATGCAAGTGATCGGTGATGATCGGCAGAGAATATGGCTTTTCATATAAGAGGTCCCCTATGTTTGTGATACTCCGATATCTATTAATAACGTTCAATGTCGATCTCAATAAATTCTAGTAAACAACAGTAAACAACGTTAAATAATAATTGGGAAAACGGGTATTGACCATATAAAGGGAGACAATAAAAAAGTGAACAAAATCCTAGTGGCACAACGTGTTTCATTGCAAAGATCTTCTGGCGAAACTTTCAATTTACAACTTTTTGGCGGAATAGGAATGGCAACAAGTACGCAGATCGGTAAAGTGCCTTTTCGGTCGTTCGCGTAGTTGGTTGGATCGAAACTTCCGCTTATTGAGCTATTAGTTTATCAAGTTTTCTCAAACTCTTTTCGGCTTATAAGGTTTGGAAACGGTGAATAATTACTGATATTACGAAGAAGTACAGTATAATGCGTGCACCTACAGTCAAACCTGGTTATAACGTATTCGGCTGGACCAGAGAAAATATTTTTTTATAACCAGAAATTCTTTATAACCAAGGTCACTTTTATAGCGAAGATTATAATTATCTATAATTAGGTTCATTATATTCAAATTGCTAGAAGCCAATGCTAAATTATTCTACCATATTGATTAGTTTATATCCGACGCCTCTAACAAACTCATAGAGAAAAATATCGCATATTTATTTTTTATTTCTAATTATTAAGGTAACTGCGTCTGCACTTTTTTAGACATACTGTATTCTTCCGAATTTAAGCACCACTTTTTTCCTAGTGGTGCTTACATGATTTTTGTACACCATACTAATATCGCATCTTTTCTTTACACAACGTCAACGCTAAAAATTTAACGCTCATCGTATTCTGCTGCTGAAAAGCTTAAAGTAATGCAATGGATGGGTCATAAGACAATTTATTTGGATATAGATAGTGATTTAGCTGATAATTTAGAGAGGAAAAATTAGAATAAAAAATATAATAAAAAATTTTTTTGCATAAATTTTGTGTGGCGCTTAAATTCGGAAGAATGCGGTAAGTTTCAGTAAAGTTAAACCCGTATTATATTTGCTAAAGTCATGGCTCCTGTATTTTCAATTGTATTAAATGATAAATTTAAACAATAGAGGGAGGAATGTATTAATTTTTAAAGCCTTTCCTATAGCTGCTGCTCTTTTTGTCACTAATAAAATTATTACTAATATCCAAGGTAGTCAAAGAATGGCAGGTTTTCAAAACTCTTGCTAAAGCAACTGCTCCATTATAATTATCATAATATTGTTATACAGATATCCAACCGAGTCAAAGTAAAATTTAACTTTAAAGCGTCTGTTAAACCGTAGCTGACTCTCCGATGTCGATAGCGCACACCATCCAACAATTTAGAGAGCATTAGCACTTCACACGAAGCCGTCTAACCGGTACACCCAATATTAATTTTATTGCTATTAAATCCAGAGAAGTCAAAGCGGAGTTTAATACTAATTATAATGCATTTGCCAAAGCATTGGTCCTGTTAAAAGCGTTGATGACTTTTTGTTTGTAAAGTTTTTGCTAACGCTGTCGCACCAGTATTTCCAATCTCATTATTGTCAAGCCTTAATTAAATGCACCAAAAATGAATTATTTGCCTCTAGAGCTTTAGATAACACAATTACTCGATTGTATTATTGTACAAGAAACGCAAGGTAAATTGGAACTCAAAAATTGTTGTCATCTCCAATATTATTTTTGTCAAGGTCTAAAATTGTTAGAAAATTTATATCATATTTCTCAAAATTAGCATTCCAGTCCTGGTTAAGTAAGTATTTCTAAGATTGAGAGTACTCAGCAAAGTGTGCAATTTTAAAGCCTTTGCCAGGAGTTTTGCTTCAGTGTCTCCAATTGCATTGCCACTAAGTTGTAAGAATGTTAAATTCAAGGGCGCATATTATTTTGCATACCCATCTTTTATTGCAGCCAGAAACTTCGAAGCTTTCAATTTACGTTGACCTTGAATGAGTTTTGCTAGCTCTCGTTTGCAGGAGAAATTTCTGTGTTTAAGTTTCAGCAAGAGTTTGCTTACAGACGCTAATAGTAATCTTTTGTAATTACCAGAGCAAGTAAATTTTTTTAAATTCTTAAAAGACGTATTAGCGTTAGGTAATGTGAAGAGGCTTACGTTGTCATTAAGTGCAACAAACTTGCACTTTAATGTAACATTAATACAATCAATTTGTGAGTGCAAAATAACTAGTTTGATAAAGTAAGGGATAAATCAAATTTGTCTTTTGTTATTTCGTGTATATTAGTATTTTTTCCGTAGTATTTTTGCAGATCCAGCATATTTAGCCAATGAATGATATATGAGTATATTTAAACTATCTACATCTAATATTCGAACAATGTTAAGATAGGATAACATTGGCGGTCTGCTTCGAACTGATATAAGTGTTATGGTTGACGGTTTTGGGAATGAAGCGATAAAGTTAGCATTGAACACTTGTGTACGGAGGACTTCCCTTTTTAGTAGTCAATGTTGTTGTTTGGTAAAACAGTTTACTAACGTTAAGGATAAAACGATCCGACACATTTTATTAACAATAATATTGACTCAAGACACAAAAAACTGTGAGTTAAAGTGAGGCAAAGACATTATACAATGTTATACACAGATATTTAAATTAGCTTTGCAAATTACTTCGGAAGTTGCTGATAAAGACTTATCTTCAAATGAATGACAATTTCTATAAAGTTTATATCAAGACATTATCCCTCACAACAATCGTTCTAGTTGGATTTGAAGAAAAGATAGGAAGTGCGGCCTAAACGTTAAACCAATTTTTGCTAATAATTGAGTTTGATAACACTGTATTAAAAAGATTGTATAACATTATTAGTTTGCATTTCCTTTTTTTCCTGAAATTCTTGAAGCGATTGATGAGCATTATAATAATGCATCTATACTAAGGCCCTTAAAAGTTAATGTAACTACTGAGAGCCCCAACAGTATGATTAACTTAAAAAGTTTCCTTTCTTGTGCGGATACATTATTGCGTGTAACCTAGAAGAGCTTCAAATACATTACAACATTTTTGGTTAAAAACTCTAAATAAAGTGTATATGCAGTGCGTTTGACAACACTCCTGGTTCAACACATAAGTTTATTTCGCATTTGAAGACAGCGGTAAGTTTTGGTAACAACGCCGCCAAAAAATTGTGCAAAAAAAATATCATTATGTTGGATCGAACGATGATTAATATAGGAATCTTTTGGAAAAAATCTTTAATATTAATGAATATTATATGAACGTTTACCGAGTGTGTTCAAAATACCCAAACTAAATAAAGTGATGGCGACAACAGCATGTTAGTCACATGTTTCAATTGTACGGATATACATTACCGATAATTATGAAAATTAAAAAAATTTTTTAAAGTGCAACCTCAAGATATAAAATTAAAATCAGCAAAAAGTCAATACGAAGTAAATTCCAATATTTAAACAAATTAATTGCAAAAACTTTGTGCGTATTAAGTCTATCGCTATTGATAAACTTTTGACACAAGATGGGTTCACATAATGCTCGGTGTCATTAGATCTGAGAAATCTTCTAACTACTGGATAACCTAAGGTATTGCATAGCGCAGAATATTTCCGATGTAATTCAGTTGGGCAAAAAAAAAGATTTAAAATTAGATAAAAATCGACTAGCGTCAATGCAAAATATTTTTAATCCCTTGGAGATTTAATTATTGTTCATATAAACTAGATATATTTAAATGCAGATTGATTTAGATAATAAAATTTAACGGAAAATTTTATCAGTGGTATTTACAGTCGAACCCGTTATACCGAAGGCACGGGGGAGTCATATATGATTCGTTATAACGAGGAATTCGGTAAAACAAACACTCTCTTTGTAACGAAGTCTAGCCTAAAATCAAGTAATGTTCGGTATATCGAGGCTTTTGTAAGCAATATTTATTAGTTGCAAAATATAAAAGAAGAAAGAATCTATTCTGGATTACTTTTTGCTTGTAACATTATGTAATTCCACCTTCCTTTTCAATGAACAAAAGACTTTTGAGCTCATTCTAAATAAATTCTTTCTTTTCTATCATGGCTTTAGTACTTTTTGAACTAGTTTTAAAGCGGTTATGGCATCTTTAGTCAAGACAGTGGGAAGACATGGCGACCATATTGCTGTTTATGACCACAACACTTATGAATCGTAGGACAAATTTTATAATTACTACAACCAATCACCATGCTAAATTTTTGTGTCATGTGATAAAAAGCGACTAGTACAATATACAAAATCCTGCAACCGAACTTCGGTAACGGAATAACGAGGTTTACTATTAAAATTCGTAATAACGATCAAATTTAAATATTAAAAAAAGGGGAAGTAACTCTTGCTTCGGTATAACAAAAATTCGTTATAACGGGGTCCGACTGTATCTATTGTCAAGCGCTTTTAATACTGACAATACGACAATCGATAACATAGATTTAGTCATCTTTGTACTCACTTGTGACGCAATAATAATACAAAGCAGCCGTTTATTAATTGCAAACAATACACTGAACGGCGTTTTTATAAAAAAAAACCTGGTGTTTCGTTTGTCGCTTTATACGATGAACATAGAAGATACGATTGCATAC